CTGGGGCGATTGTTATGTACCAATCTGTGGAAACATTCAAACACCGACTTCATATACGTACATATTGAACAGCAAAACGTGAACTGTATGACTGATTAACCGTAAAACACCAATGCACGATGTAACTGTCAATATTTTCCTGACCGAAAACTTGTTAGAATTGTTTCTAATTCTTGCAATTTTGATGTGAAAAATCGGAAGTTCAAAGGCGCAAGCCTATTTTTTCCTCAAATAGAAGGAATGTTTTCACAGTCAGCTTGATCCATTACTGTACATGTCTTTTGACCTTTCCTGCGAACTGGCAATCAAAAAATACAGCTAGCTTTCCGGTGCAGGCCATTGTATGTACCTAGGTAAACTATTTGATTACTTAAACGCTGGTCTCGAGTGCTGAACCTTCCGCATCCATCGTAGGCATTTACATCCTTAGTTTGTTTAAGACAGGTCCTAGCTAGCGCATCACAAATAACGGCCGCCCTATTTCTGGGATAGTAACACCCCTACGAATGAGCAACGTAATCTTTCTAACTAGCGCACTATTATACGAGTTAAAGTCTACCGGCTTTGAGGAACCGCAAAAATGCCAATTAGAAAAGCTATACACTGAGAAGAGACCTAAACCTACTCATAATAGGCCAAAATGGAAGTCTAGTTTTCTTAAAAGGAAGCAGACCATCACCGTTAAACTGCACATTTACTGTCTTTGAATGGCGCACTAAATCTTGTTTGTCTCTAGGCATCCACCTTAACTGTCTGCCTAGGCCAATATGTAGATATGCACCACTAGTCATTTGCAATATGGGATCTTAAGAGGATCCGATGGTCCCTTGGGATATTATTATCATACCTCGCGTGTACAGGAAGCATGTGAGTGGACTCTTTAAGGGAAGCTGCCCATCTCATAATTCCTCTTTAAAAGTTATTGCATTAATACTATGTTCACGATGCCCGGACCAGGATGCGATGTCTCTCTTACTCCTACCTGCCCCTGCCTTCGGACGTTTTTCAGAGAAATTTGTTCGGAGCCAGCAGATGCACACTGTTCATTTGGCATTATTGAAAAATAAAGCCGTTGCATCTGTGTGACTATGACTGTGTCTGTCTCGTATGTTCGGCAAAGTAAAAGGGAGTGGACCCTTAAAAGTTAAAGAGGAATAAAAGATTAAAAAGGGGACTGGCGGGAACGCACCTCTCCTTAGCCATGACCAAATCATCCCAATAATTAACCTGACCCCTCAGCGATTGTTATCGCACCCTTGGCATCCTACTGACGATTGAAGTGTACGTCGTTCAGCTGAGCCTGCTGCATAGATGTTCGGTCACTTAGTGCGCGCATAGGTGAAATTGGAATCGTTAATACGACCGTTACCACAAAAGTAACGGCTTTAGGGAAACTGTTGTAAGCAACTCGCCGGCAAAATGTTATCATGGTCACCGATTTTGCGTCATTCGGTATTTGACCGGTATCGTGTAAGATTGTGTGATGAATCATCCCTATATTTGATAACAGTAAGAACGGAGCCATATTCCAGGTATTCTGAGTTTAAAACATTACAGGCGTTACTTAATCACTAAACTGCATATGCAGAGTATGGCTTAAAACAAACA